GAGGAGCCCTAGCTGAGGTGTCATTATGCTCTCCTTCGAGAGCTGAGGCTCAGGCTTGGAAGCACTCTCCAGCTCACAAGGCGGAGCTGCTTCATCCTGGTCTTCGTCCAGGTCCACGATAGGAGGTTCGGGACAGACCTCCTCCTCCAAAAGCTCGGCTGAGGTCGACTCCGGCGCAGCGACCTCGGGTGGGACGGGGGCTGAAGGACCGGCCTCCCGACAGGACTTCTTCGAGGCTTTCCTCTTTTTCCCTCTCTGGAAGCTCCTCAGAAGGTTCTCTGCATCGACCTCCGACATAGCTACTGCAAGAGAAAAAGAAAGGGGTTAGTCGCAAACTGAAGTAAATTCAAAATAAAAAAGAGTAATTTAAGTGCCGAAGTGGAGGCCTACCAGGAGGGCTCAACCCAGCTCGCACAAGCTTCTCCTCAGCCAATAAATCTCTCATCTCCAAGCTGAGGTCCCTCTAGGAGTTAACAACTGCCTTGATCTCCGCATCTAGCATCACCCCGGGGTCTTTAATGGCCACCTGCCAGTGAGTCGGGAAGGGCCACCCCTAAGCGTTCTAGACAAAAATGTACCTCCTCTTCCAGGTCGGTATTTTGTTCGGGCTGCTGAATAGGATTTTGAACCCAAGGTGGGGAGAGATGTAATTACTCTGCTAGACATCCCCGCGCAAGCAAGCTGAGTTCTTTTTAATTGAATAGATCGAGCTAAAAATATCTAAGGACAGAGGTCGGTTATACTCGTGGAATAGGGAGATTGTACCTACTATAGTTCGGGTGTAATTGGTCAATGGTGATATCAAAGAACTTAATAATTTCTACAATGAATGGGTGGAGAGGGAAGCGCAGCCCAGCTATGAGCTGCTTTTCGAAAACTGCGATCTCATAGTGACCATGAACCCAAGGGTACCGACCCAAAGGAATATTGAAAACAAGGTTATCGGGAAGACGATAACGGGCTACCAAGGACAGTAACTTGTCTGAGGTCATAGTGGAAGGACCAAAGTCATATGGATCCCAACCTTATGAAGAAGACAGGACCCTCCTCTGAAGGTCGGTCCCTCCTCTCGAGCTTCAGGCTTCTCAGGTTGAGATGGCTTGACTTCAGGTAAAGAAGTTTCCCCTAAGGGGCAAGGGAAGGAACTGCCTGGCGAGGAGCTGACCTCGCCAGCGGGAGCCGGGGACTATACCTCAGCACCCTCAGGCTCACTAGAGTCACTAAGAAACCTATCTATACTAGCACTAGACATACTAGAACAGGAAAGGAGAACAAACTAACGAAGAGAAGACGAACTCACCAAAAGGATGAAAACGACCTCGGAACACAAGGGAAGAAGTAGCGAGCTGAAGGACTCTGACGCGACCTCGGGAAAGCTCAATCACAAGATTTTTGGCAAAGAAGAGGGGCCCCTTGGCCCCCTATTTATAGTTCACCACATGGAGATGAACGGTTGAGATCTGCTCGATCCAACGACTCATGAAAACCGGTTGCACGATACCCGAGGACAAAATCGGTTGAGCGCGCTCTTTGACATCCACAGAGTCTATAGACAACGTGACGTCCGTGCGTACTCGGGACACGATCTGGGTCATTTCGTGGTTGAGCCAAACGGTTGAACAGGCCCGACCAACGGTTCGCTCTTCAGACCCTGTGCCAAATCCACTTAGATCCTCCATGAACTCCGCGCACTGGGTTGGGACCCTTGGCACGAGGAGTGGGGGGCAATTGATGAAGGGTGTTTTGGCGTGACCTAGCGAGAAGGGGACACGTGGACATGCCCTAACTAAGGGATGACAACTTAGCTTGGCAAGCCTAGTTCGCAACGTTTGAGCTCAAGCGTTCGGTCACCTCGGCGTCAGGGCACCTCGGCATTCAATCTAGTTTGGAACTAAAGAACCGAAGTCTCAGCTCGAGGCTAACGGCCCGAACTGCCATGTAACGGCTCCGAAAGTTTCTCCAGTAGACTTTGAACCTCACGGGATCACGCCGCGTAACGACAAGCCTTAGCTTCTCCCCGCCCGGATCGGGCGGAAATGATTGACTTGATTGACTGATACGTTCTCCCCGATTAAAGCGGAAACGGATCCCCTCAGGCCGAAGATCCCAGAACTGTTCTGTCAAATCCATGGGAGCTCAGATATATAAGAGCAACAACCCCTCCAGGGCCCAGTTACGCATGATCACTCTACTCTCTAGCTCTTAAGCTCTCAAATTCTCAAAGCATTTAGCTCGCACTATAGTACACTAACTTAAGCATCGGAGCGACCTCGCTGGGTTTTTCACCCCGGGTTCTCTAATCCAATATTTTGCAGATTCATCTAGTTCGCTGCTCTAATCCAATAGAGTGGGACTTTAAGCCTTGCTTTTCTCAACCACTCTTGCCAAGTCTTCCACTCATGTTCATGAACATTGGATTGATTTGGCCTAATAAATGTGTACATGTGAAAAAAGCAGTGTAAAAAACTTGTTTGCAAAAACATTTTATTTATATGAATATAAAATACAATATAATAAAAATAAGTGATATTGTGTGTGACATTGTATACAAAATATAAACAATTAATCTATTGGTGTGTGGTTATATCCAGTGCCACGATTTATCCAACACACTAAAGCTCGATCAACGAGGGCCATAGGCCACTCAGTCCAACAGTTGGGCACCATGGCTTTGAGGTGTGCCCCACAATTGACGCACACCAGTTCCCCCCCGGTGCCTGTCTCTGTCCAGTGCGAATTAGTGCAAAGTGGCAGAGCCATCATATAGTGTTTCAGCAAGACATTGGGATACATGAACAGAAAAGAAAGGATGATGAAAGGCAAGAAATAAAGAAGCTTCTTCATGCTTCACAATCGACCGAGACCCTTCCTTTGATTTGTGGGCTGCTCAAAACATATCATCGAAAAGAAACTAGCATATAAAACGGATGATTTTGATTTCAACTTCACTAACATTTTACTCCGCCGGTGATCAATTTCATTAGAGGTCACTCGTAACTTTTGTGCCGATGAGATGCTTTTGATTTCCAAACTAGATAGAAAAAGAAAACAATGTTAATAAATTTTGCTTCGTTGATAATAATTTGACATAACAACATTCACATTTTCTCTTATTCTCGTCCAAGTAAAAATGGTTTTTGTTAGAGTGATTTTTTGAGTGAAATGATCTTTTTAATGATGTGAAATGGATTTTCCTCGTTGGTTTTAGAGTCTTAGTCGCAGTTCCCGTCGCCGGTGAGAATAATCGCCGCCGTTGGAACAAAGATGAGAAGAGAGGTATAGGCGGCAGGGTTTTGGCAATGTTCAAGAAAAAGATTGAAAATGAGATAGAAGAAATTATATTTGAGAGCTAACGCAATGAACTAAACGTCCGTCCCAATGAAAGCGTGTCTTTAGACAGGTGTCTCAACCTGATGGTGTTGGTAGGGAGTAGACCTGTTCATGGGCGGTTTGGGCCGGGTTTTTATTCATCATTAATGGAAATATGCTAGGCCCGAGTTCGAGCCTGAGCCGAGCCCGAAGTCCGACCTAATAAAAAAAATTACAATTTTTCCTATTCAAATTAGAATTAAAAATTCAGATGTTTTTTTTTTCTATTTAAATGAACAATGGGCCTACAAGATGGTTTTTTTTCCCTTTCTTTTACTTTTTAAAACACAGTTCTACATTCTTAAATCAAAAAAATTATTCAAATGGACATAATCACATAACCCTTTTTAAGTCTAATTTTAGGTCGGGACGGGCTGGGTTATTTTGACAAAACCCGAGCCCGGCTTGAATTTATTGCAGGCCGGACTTTTTGGCCTGAATTTAAGCCCGCGGGCCTATAAACATGTTCAAGCCCGTCCGGTGGCCGGGCCCGGCCCATGAACAGGTCTAGTAGGGAGGTGGCTACTGATAGGGGTGGCAACAAGCCGAGTTTTTCACGAGCTGCTCGAGCTTGACTCGTGAAAAGCTTGGCTCGGCTCGGTTTTAGTTGAGTTCAAGATCAATTTAGTGGCTCGATTAATAAACGAGTTGAACTCAAACCTAATAGAACTCGGTTCGAATATATAATATATATATACTAATAATAATAAAATTATAAAAAATAATATATATAATAAAAAATATTATAATTCTTAATTTTTAAATATAAAATAAAATTTTTTATATATAATTTTTATTTTTATAATAAAATATACAAAAAATATTTTTATAAAATATAAAACGAGCTGAGGTGAACCAAACTCAAAGTTATAGACTTTTGACTCGAACCAAACTCAAGTCAAGTTCAAACCTTATAAAATAATCTCGAACTGGATTCAAAGCTGGTACTATACAGTTCGACTCGGCTCGGCTCGAATCCACCCTAATGGCTGGTAATCGGTAAAGTTGAAATCAACAAGACATTAGACATTCGGAATGACATTGAAGTTGGGAACATACATTTTCTTAGCTGCCATTATCGTTTCGTGAATCGTAAGAGAGAGAAATGTGTGGCTGACTGGCTTCCCACTATTTCTGCCGAGAACGACACAGATCTGAGTTCACAAAATCACAATAACAAGGGAGTTAGGTAGTGTCTTCTAGACCAGACATGTCGAGCCCCCTAGTGGCTGGTAATCGGTACAGTTGAAATCAACAAGACATTAGACATACGGAAGGTCCATCCCATTCCGCTTTAGTACGTATCAATCGGAAAAGTATGGATTTGTCGAATGCATTACACTGCACGGTTAAAAACATTGAAATGGATCGATACCCGCACTCTATACACCCACGCCCGCCCTTAATTTGGGATCAATTTCGAGCTGGTTCCTACCTCGACCGTACATTAAATCTATAAATTCTCACTGAGGGTATCTATCGGTCATTCTCACTGGGCAATGGTTACCACGTGACATATCCTTTGTCTCGCGTGATGGGTTTAGCTGCCATTATCGTTTTGTGAATCGTGAGAGAGAGATGTGTGGCTGACTGGCTTCCCACTATCTCTGCCTACAACCTCACAAATCTGGGTTCACAGAATCACAATCACAAGGTATTTTGGTTTTGGCACCTTCTGCTTCTTTCTTTCACTCTCAGGCTCTCAGAAATGGGCGAAGGCGGCAGCAACGAAAATTCAAAGCCATCCCCCCACATCGCCGTAATGGCGTTCCCGTTCGGCACCCATGCTTCTCCTCTCCTCAACATCACGCGCAGGTTAGCGGCGGTCGCCCCTGAGGCAACGTTTTCATTCTTCAGCACGGCAGAGTCGAACCGTTCCGTCTTCCCATCCAGCGGAGATGCTCTTGCTCTACTACTACTACATAACGTGAAAGCCTATGATATCTCAGACGGAATCCCCGATGGCTACCACTTTACGGGGAGACCTCAGGAGAGTATAGAGCTGTTCCTGGAAGCAACGCCGGGAAACTTCAAGGAGGGGTTCGAAAGGGCGGTAGCGGAGACGGGGAAGAATATCACCTGCRTGTTGAGCGACGCTTTCCTGTGGTTCGCGGCTGACATGGCGGACGAGCTCGGCGTGCCGTGGGTCCCGTTTTGGACGTCTACCCTTTCCTCTCTATCCACCCATTTCTACACTGATCTCATCCGCCACAGGATTGGCGTTAGCCCTAACGGTATGTTAGAAAGCAACCTGCTGCAATTCGATGTACGGGTGGTGTGCTTGTTTATCATTTGCTCTACACCGCCGAATTGCACCAAATCAAACCGAAACTATCGGTTTGGTCTGCTCCGAGCCTCCGACCTTAAAAAACGGTTTTGGGATGTTTGGCATCCATGTCGATTTCCCAAAATTCGATGCACGTCGAATCCACATCAGCCACGGAGGAATCGGTGATTAAAACCTTGTTTGGTAGGCCGGTTTGGCTGATTTTGAGAAAATGCTATAATAGGCTCGGTTTGGAACTTGAAAGGAGTATAAATGCAAACAAAATAACAAGGTTTTGCATCTGTACTCCTTCCAAACAAAATAACACAAAACTGCACCTTTCTTTTATTTTCTGCATTCTTTTGAATTTTCCTACTATTTTATTGTTATTTTCTGCTATTTTATACAATTTATGCAAAATTCTATATTTTTCTGCAAATTTCTGTTATTTTCTGCAATTTTTGCACAATTCTGTAAATTTCTGCAATTCCTACAAGAATCTGTTATTTTTTTGCATTTTTCTGTCATTTTTGCTATGTAATGTTATTTTCTACAATTATTTTGCAATCTCCTGTTATTTTCTACAGAAACAATTCTTTTGCAATCTCCTGTTATTTTTCTACAAAAACTCTGCATTTTCTGCTATTTTTTACTAATTTATGGAACTTTCTGTTATTTTCTGCAATGTTCTACAAAATTCTGCAATTTCTGCCAAATTCTTTTTATTTTTTTGCCATTTCTACAATTTTCTGCTATTGTTTTTGCAAATTTCTGTCATTTTCTATTTACTATTATTTTCTGCAAAAAAAATCTGTAACTTTTATTTTATTTTCTGCCATTTCTACTAGTTTTCTGTAATTTTCTGTTTTTTTTTTCAAAAAAAAATCTGCTATCTTTTGTAACTTATTTTCATTTATAGTTATTTATGCTATTTTTTCTGCTATATTCTGCAAAATTCTGTGAAACTCTATAGTTTTTCTGCAAAGAAAATGCAATTTTCTATAATTTCTTGCTATTTGCCGTAATTTCCTGCTATTTGTCTGCAAATTTCTGAAAAATTCTATATTTTTCTGGAAAATATTTTATTTTCTCCAATTTTGTTTTGCAAAATTTTGCAATTTCTGCAAATTTCAGCAAACTTTTGCTTTTCTTTTTGCAAATTCCTGTAATTTTTTTTTTGTTTTTTTTTTCTACAATTTTATCCATTGTTTGCAACTATTTTTAGGAATATTTTACAATCTCTACCATTGTATGTAATTTAGACTATTTGATATGGATCTATGATTCATTGATTTGAACTGCTAGTGAAATACTTTGAATAATAATTTCAATGAAAAATAATCACCTTTGTGAATCATTACCAAACAAACTCTAAAATTCATTTCCTTACATTGGCAGAAAAATGATACCAAACAACAAAATTTGGTGATTTTTGACAAATCACTGATTTCAAAATTCAGCGAAGAATCGGCATTGATGTGAACTATATATGAAACCAATTTGTTAATAATATATTTATAAATGTATATAATATATATGACATATGCTTGAACATATGCATGTATAGGTTCATTTGACATCCTCCTTAGTCCTTACCTATTACTCTGAGACAACGTAAACCTCTGCTGTGTTCTCTTAATAAACCCAATAGGCTTTCTAATTGGTTTAATCTCAAGAAAATGGCCAAATCATATTCTTTAGGCTATATTTGGTTTGAAGGAAAATGTAGAGAAAAGAAGGAAAATGTAAAAAAATTTTTACAAATCTTGTACGTATTGGTGCAAGCACAGGCATTGCAGATCGTGAGGATGAGCTACTTGATTTTATTCCCGGGATGTCGAAGTGCCATCTCCGGGATTTGCAGGAAGGAATACTTATCGGAAACTTGGAATCACCCTTCAACCGGATGTTACATCAGATGGGTCAGATGCTTCCACGTGCCGCTGCGGTTTTCATCAACTCATTTGAAGAGATGGAGCCTGCCATCATGGCGGATGTGAAGTCAAAGTTGAAGAAGTGTCTCACCGTGGGGCCGCTAACGATCTTGGCCCCACCGCCAACCGGTCCAGACGAGACCGGCTGCCTAGCGTGGCTGGACCGCCAAAAGCCCCGCTCCGTGGTTTATGTGGGCTTTGGATCAGTGATCACACCTCGGCCTCCTGAGCTCACTGTCCTTGCAGAAGGGCTAGAGGCCAGTGGTGCACCATTTTTGTGGTCCATTAAAGACAACGTAAAGGCCCAATTGCCAATTGGGTTCGTTGAGAGAACACAGGAGAGGGGAAAGCTGGTTTCATGGACCCCACAGAGGCGTGTGCTGGACCATCCGGCGGTCGCCGTGTTTATATCACACGGTGGATGGAATTCAGTTGTGGAGAGTTTATCCAGTAGGGTGCCGCTGATCTGCCGTCCATTTTTTGGAGATCAAAGGCTGAGCGCACGATTGGTATCGGGAGAATGGGGGATTGGGGTCACAATTAGGGGTGGGGTCTTTACCAGGGAAGGACTGATGGACGCTCTGGATTTGATTTTGAAAAAGGAGGAAGGAAAGAAAATGAGGGAGAAAGGTGGGACCCTACGAGAGCTTGCAAGAAAAGCGGTTGGACCAGAAGGGAGTAGTGCGCTGTATTTCAATGATTTATTGGAGATAGTCTGCAAGACATAAACCCTCTCGCAAGCAAGGTTTTAAGAGAGGCCTAAGGCTGTGTTTGGCTTAATTTGCAGTGTTAAATGACTTTTTAGTGTATTTTGTTAGGTGTCGGTAATCAACATTGGAATTTAAAGATATTAGCTGCGCTTGCGCTTGACAGTGAGATTAGGTAATTTATTGCACCTTTTTTTTTTTAATTCTAATTTAAAAAGTTATCTTTAAAATTTCAGCTATTGGCTTTTGGTGAGCATCCTTTATCAATGCTCTTATTTATCTATATTATTTTAAAAAATATGAATAGTCTCAAGAATATTTTTGGAATTTTGTATTGATAAAATTTATTATTTTATATTTAAATTTATTAATAAAAAATGAGGATAAATAGGATAATTAGTTATTGATATTAAATAAATTGAAAAGAGTTAATTTTAAGATATTTAATGCATTCAATTATCTCTAATTATCCAACATTTTAGGTATTAATTTGCATTCACCCTCATTGAATCATATATTTAAGGTTTCTTTGTTTCTTCTCATCATTAAATTCTATAATTAAATGCATACATAAGAAATTAATAATTTTAATAATATAAAATTATATACTTTTAAAACCTATCTGAAAAAAATAGTATTTTTATTTAGGTAGTAGTAAGAAATTAAACCATTTTAGTCAAAAGGGCTAATTCATGTTACCACAATAAAATTCAAAAATATATAAAATACAAAAAATATTGTTAGTGGGGATCAAGCATTCATGGTTGAAGCAGCTTAATTAATTATTAGGAGATTACACACTAATCAATTTAATCTCTGCTGTGGCTACATTATAACTCATCAACTCAATTGCAATTTGTAAATACTACAAGATTACATAAGCAACATGGCTTAGTCTTGCTAAGCAACAGGGAAAAAAGAAGATAAAAGAGAAAGGACAAAGAAATTTAAAAAGATACATTTACTTTATTTCTAAAATAATCAATATCTAGATCACCCTTATAATCTGAATCAACCTTCACAATAGAAGAGAAGCTGCATTTTTCATTGCTTTAATTAAAATCCCCTCTTAGTCTACTTGTCAATATGAAGAACTCTCCTTAATACACCCAAGAGCAAATGATAAGCTGTTAGAAGAGGAAAATGGCCTTCTGAGTCCAAAATCTTAACATTGGTGTTACCACCAAGCATTTTCGCCATGTAAAATGCAACCCATTTTGGAGCAACAATGTCCTTCTCAGATTGGATGATGGTGCAAGGCACCCTAACTTTTCTCAGGACTTGTCTGTAGTCAATCAAGAACACAGTTTTTGCTGCGCCATTGGCAATACTAGGTTTTGATTTTTCCCGGAGTGGATTCAAACTCCTTTGTAGCAGCCTTGTCATTCACCCTAATAGCCTTCGGAGAAAAATTTGTGACCCAGTTTGAGTAATTCTGTTTTATGCTTTCTAAGGTTGCATCAATATCTGATCATCTCTCAAAGCCTCCAGTAAGATGAGTTGTTTAAAGAGGTCTGGACAACAGAAACTCTGTGAGAGAGAGAGAGATCTTGGAGAGCCACCCAATAAGATGAGTTGTTTAAAGAGGTCTGGACAACAGAAACTCTGTGAGAGAGAGAGAGATCTTGGAGAGCCACCCAATAAGATGAGTTGTTTAAAGAGGTCTGGACAACAGAAACTCTGTGAGAGAGAGAGAGATCTTGGAGAGCCACCCAATAAGATGAGTTGTTTAAAGAGGTCTGGCCTCTGTGTTGTGGCTATGCATCCTATCATGGCAGACATGGAATGACCCAAGAAGATAGACCTGGTCACGTTGAGCTCATCGAGAAGGCACCGTAGATCTTGTGGCTAGGAATAGTAAGTTGAATATCTTCTAGGACTGTAGAGACGAGGATCAACGCTCCTTGAGAAGACCAGATCAAAGACTATTACCTTAAAGTAGCATGCAAGGTGATGAAGAAAGATTTGGCCCGACCTCGCAATCACGTCACGTGGCAAAAAACAAGTAGCTCGATACTTAAAGTAACGTACCTAGGGTGCAAACACCAAAGGGAAGAAACCAGCAATCCAAACTCCCCTCAAGGAGACCGTTCTATGCTCGAACTCTTCCAAAGCTTCTACAATCTTCACCCATCCCTGTTTTCCTCTCCCCTCTAGAAAACAGACCATCTGCCGTCTTCCATTCCCAAATTTTTCATTCAACTCAATGAATAAACCTCTACTGCTATTTTTCTTCTCCACTGTGAACTTCCTCACTTCCACCATTAGTTCCCCTTTCCATCCTGGCTTGGAGATAGCAAAGATTGTTCCATCTATGAAGCCCTTAAACCAACCTAAAGCTTCTCTTCTAATTATCACTGTTGAACATTTATCTTTTTTGATTTAGATTGTAGGGCTCCCACCTATTTCTTTCAGCAAAATCTCTTTTTTCTCCAGCACAATCTCCTTCCGCTTGTTCAATGACATGAAGCACTCCATCTCTATTTCTCTTACGTCTGACTGCATATCCTGATCAGTTAATCGCTCCAAGAAACCTACAAATCTTGAATTATTTGAATGATAATTTCATTAATCAAGAAGATGCAACATTTACAAGCATCTGTAGGGGAGGTGCAAGATGCGACCACACCTTTAATAGTGATTACAGGTTTTCAAAAACTAAAATTACAAAGCAGCCCAATATTATGATTCCCGAGAAGCCCCTTGCTTAGCAAGAAAATCAGCCATTGCATTTGGCAACCTGCCCAGCCATTGGATTCTAATTGTCATGTGCTTTGTTAACCATTTCACTTTTTTGTGATGTCCCTGTAACTCCAAATGACAGAATCTGGATCCAACAGCCATCCCACAACCACCTTTAAGTCTCCCTTCAACTAGTAAATTTTCCACCCCAATTTGGTTAGAAATCTGGATAGCTTGTAATGCAACTATTAACTCAGCCTTGTAGAAAGAATCACCTATTCCCACCTGGCCTGAGAACAAGGATATGATATTGCTCTCTTCATTTCTCAGAACCCCTCCTATACTTGACAGTTCTAGATTACCCTGACCGCTCCTATTGAAGTTCAGTTTAATAAAATCTTCTGGAGGTGGTGTCCAGACTGCCTGTAATTGGGCACTGCTGAAACTTGACAATTGGCACAATGTTTCTAATAAAATCATGGTGATGTTCCAAGATTAAATCATCAAATGATTCTGGCACTTGGCCCAAGCAGGCAAGGTATCACAAGAAAGGCCAYWTCCAGTAAAGAAACAGTTTGATATTTCTTTATCMCCTCCCACTGTCATGACCTTTAGAGGGTGGCATGCTGAACACTCATGAAGACCTGGTTAATAGGCACCCATGCCACATACAAGGTAACACTATTGTGACTGAGATTTCCTTTGATAGTAAAATAAAATAAAATTTCATTAAATCAAAAGATAAGTACAGATACAACAGTTAACAAATTTTATTAAATCAAAAGATAAAATAAAATTTCACTCAATCAAAAGCAAAATTTCATCAAATCACCCACAAGAGTAAAAATAGGACTAAGTCAACAAGATACAACAATACAACAGGCTTTTGCATTTCACGTGACAAAACCAAAGTAGCCCATAGGGTTTCCCCAAGATCTGCTCCACTGATATCCTTGAATTCGGTAACAGACAATGACAAATCCACAATCCAGGAACATATCTCAGCTAGACCTGTTCAGAGGCTGGGCCGGGCTTTGCCTATATATTAACAGAATAGCCCACCTGGAAATTGGGTAAGAAGATTTTTTTTACGCAACAACAGAACTGATTTATTTATATTAAATGACCTCAAACCCCAAAAATGCTGAAAGATCTCACTATGGGTTGAGAAAAGAGAAGAACAAAGAAAAAATCAGGCCTAGTATTTTAGGCCTGAGCCTGAGCATGCGGGCCTAAAATCATGTCCAAGCCTGACGAAGAATGGGCCAGGTTGGGACAGCCCATTCAGCTCATGAATGGGTCAAATCTCAGCTACCACTTTCATTCTTAGCTGATACCTATCTAAAAAAAATGCAACTATTCCTAACTTTCCAGATGCCCCCAAGAAGTTGCAAATGGTATAGAACTACGAAGAAATTTCACTTTTTTCCACCTGAGATTTTAGGCCACTTGGAGAAGGTTTCTAAGAGATCATTCAGGCTTGGCTTATGGATGTTAAACAGTTTTTATTTGATAAGTGAATGAAGATATTTTATTGCCAAAGGATTAACACAATACAAGCAACCCTTGGAGAGGTGCAAGCTGTGACCTCTCCTAACCATTGTATTATCAAATTCATGTCTTTGGTAAGCCATTTAAATTTCTCCATTTCATTCCTGAAAACCCAAGTAACCAAGTCTGGATTTTACCACCATGCCACAACCAGTTGAGTCTCTTCAATGATTAGGTTCTCCAAATGTAACTGATTTGCTATCTGAATTCCTTGTAAGGCAGAAAGAAATTCGACCCTATTAG